CAATTCTTATGAGTTAAAAAAAAACAAACACAACTCAAAAACTCTATTCTACTGGGAAGTTCTTTGTTGACCTTCTAATACAAGCAGAGGACAGAACACTACAGCTTAGTTAAGGTCTCTCTTCAAGGAGATTAAAAAAGAAAAAATAATCCTTTACGGGGTTCTAAGTTCCTGAAAACAAACCTCTAAATGAGTCTCAATAATCAATGACTACTATGAAGCACCAGTTCTTGTGTGATGGAATAAATCAAGGGTTGCCAACTTTGTTGAAATAGGTATATTTACCAAAATCAAAATGTTTAACAGTCATGCTTTCCAAGTACCTACTCAGCAATTTTCTGTGCTGGACATACTGCAAAGGCATTCAGCAGAAGCTGCCACACAGTAAGCTAACTAATTGATTTTAGGTCAAATAGTATTGGCAGATCGACCTGCAAACAGAAAACTTAAACAGAGCAAGCCTTTTCAGAAGACTGACACAGAGAGAGAGATTTCAGTTTTGGGCAACTTTTATAAAGTTAAACATACAATGGAGGTAATTTCAAGAAATGAAAATGATAGAACTTTGTTCTTCACTTATGTTGCAAAAGAGCTCTTAAGTTGAGATGATTATATGAATGTAAAAGACCATTGCCTTACCAGCTTAGTACTTAAAATCTGAAGGCATTGGCCTGGGCATCTGTAATACTAGCAACACCAGAAGCAAATTTCAACTAGTGGACCATAGTCCTGATGCGTTTCATATTTCCTATCATCCTCATCTCACTAAGTATGTTAAATCTTTGAAGACAAGGCAATTCATCAAAATCAAATCATATTTACCACAGACTTCCCATGTATATGATGATATACTGAGAACTAAATCAACAGTATTTCCTTATAACCCAGTCTTTTGTGGTGGGACCTGTCCTGCTGGGACACAAAAAGTAAAAGTACAACATTGTAGATATCAGAAGAACTGATTAAAAATTTTAAATATAATCCCTTCATCAAAGCATTTATTCACATTTTAATGCTATCATTTCTATTTATCGTTCTGTCATATTTTTGAATGAGAAAGATACAACAGATTAGATAAATTATAGGAATAAAAGAAAAAAAATTAGGGGAATAAAATGCATCAATAAAATGGAAGCACAAATACCAACAGAAGCTACCTCTGGTAGTGGAATTACCAGTGATTATTTTTTCCCCTTCATGTTTGGTTTATGGTATGCCTAAGGATTAGATTTAAAACTATTTATTTATTCAGTCTCCTTTGTATTAATATATTTATTTATTTGTTAAGAGTATAACATTTTATGAAAAGATAAAAATTAAAGTTTACCTCTTTAATAGGGTAAAAAACAAAAGTGTGCCAGGCAGCTACTACTAAGATAGGAGAATTATCATAAAATTGTCTATTTAAAATTAAGAATACTTTAGAGGTTCATGATGATTGTCCCAATGTAGATGACGCTTTTTACAGTATCCCAAAGCATTGTCCAGTTACGGTTAAAAGAAGGGTAGCTCCTTTGCAATTCAGTCTATTTCACTGTAGAAAAATTGTAGTTCCTGTATCTAGCTCTCTAGAACTTCCACTCATTGGTTCTAATTCTCTTTGTGCAAAATAGAACACACCTTCTTTCATATGACAGCCTTTCCAATACCACCACTTTCCCCCAGACCCCACCTAGGTTTTCTCTTCTGCAATCTTAACATTCCGGTTTCTTTTGACCATTAACTCAAATTATATGTATTCCAAACTTCTCATAATTGTAATAACCTTCTCTTGAACCTCTATTCTCAAAATATGGTACAAAATGACCACAGTACTTGGTAACAAGCCAAATTACAATGAAGTTTTCGCCTTCCTTGATTTGAACTTTTTTCCCTCCGATAATGACATTTAAGGTGTCATTGGTTTTTCAAAGTGTATATAATACTTGTTTGAATTAAAGTGAATTTATTCAACTAAAATTATCATTTTTTCCAAGACAATGTTTCTTTAATTTATACCTACGAAATATGTTATTTGAGTTTAAATGCAATAATTTATATTTATCCATAAGAAATTTTAGTATATTGAATTTGAATACTGCCCAGTTGAGATAAATTTGTATCTTGGTTCTTTCTTACATGATGCCCTAATATTCATTATTGGTAAATTTTACATACATTTAGATGAAATACATTCACTAGGAAAGATATCTGAGGGGTGCCTCAAGCGACATCCCTCTAAACAACACTTTTCAACCAGGGGCACTTATGTACCCCAGAGGACATCTGGTAATGTCTGCAGACAGTTTGGGTTGTGATATCTGGAGTGGGGAAAGCCACTGGCATCTACTGGGTAGAGACCAAGGATGCTGCTAAACAACTTACAGTATACAAGACACACTTTTCATCCCCCAAAACACAATTATTCTGTACAAAATGTCAATATTGCCAATGTCAACAGGCAAAATACATATCAACTGGCTAGGAAACATATATTAATCCTATTTAAATCACATTAAAAAAATTCAGGGGCTACAAGGTAATTTATAGATTCAATGCCATCCCCATCAAGCTACCAAGGACTTTCTTCACAGAATTGGAAACAACTGCTTTAAAGTTCATGTGGAACCAAAAAAGAGCCCGCATTGCCAAGACAATCGTAAGTCAAAAGAACAGAGCTGGAGGCATCATGCTACCTGACTTCAAACTATACTACAAGGCTACAGTAACCAAAACAGCATGGTACTGGTACCAAAACAGAGATATAGACC